TCAGAAAAGTCTCTACTTTTATGAGGGGAAAGGCACAAAAAGTTTGCCTTCAGTCTGGAGGGGGGGGGGTCAAAAAAGTTTTCAATCCTTATTTTCCCCATTTCCCAACCCTCCCTCCCCATAAATAATGACCACTCCCTAGATTTTAACCGTGCGACCAGTATTTTCCGTTCAGAATCTGAGGGGCGGTTCACGGTAAAAACCGAAAACCGTCTGAAAACCCCCGAAAAGACCGATGTTTTTTAATTAATGAAAATTTCCTTTTGAAAATTTAAAGGGAATTTCATAAAATAGTGCAAACACTGGGTAAAAAAATATGGCGGCCATTTCGGTTGCGAATTACGAATATTTCGGTCTTATTTTCGCTTTTAACACACATCTGAAGTAAGCCAGGGTACAGAATATGAATACGAACGTGAACAGGTTTTCAGATGATGGAGTCTGCAACTTTTCATCTGCTACAAATGGGATGAATTTAACCTAATGATTTTTTGTAAGTGTTGTAACGATTTACAGAGACATTTTTGTCGCGCGTGAACATGAGTCAGGGAAGAATAGTCAAGTCTATACCTGTTCAGATGAAGATTTTAACCTTTTAATCTCGATCTGTAAATCCGAGATTTGATTTCTGTATTTTGATGCGTTATCCATCGCTTCTTCTCTCGAGGCTTCCAACTCTGACTGCACGACAAGCATGGATTCGTCTAGCTTCGCTTTCTCTTCGTGTAACTGGGTTATACTTTCTACTAAACGATTAATTCCGGGTAGATCCTTGGCTCCTTTTCCCTTCTTCTTTCCCTTTCCTCCTTGAGCTGCGAGTGTTTTCTCGTGTTCACTAAGTATTTTTTGCAAGTCAGTAATAAGTTTATCTTTCTGTTCAATGAACACTTCATGAGTCTTTTTCATGATTTTCATTTGAGATTTTTTGTTTTGTTCAGATTTGTTAAGTCGTGCTCGATAGCTTGCTGTCTTGTCCGACAACACCTGTAGTAGAATGTTTAGAAAAAATTAGTTTTAGTCAGGATGACAATGCGAGCGTGACCGGCTAGGCCACATTACATAAGATCTGCCTCGCAGTCAGGAGCAACTTATATTAGGGAGCTTTAGATTTGACTACGAGTACGACTACGAGTACGAGATTTGATCGCGTGCGGGGAAATTACCGTAGTCGTTTTCGTTTCGATTCAAATGTTGCTTTTATAACAGTAAACCAACTGACGAGAGAAAAAGTTTAATAAGCTAAATCTCCTGCAGACTAAAATCCCCTACAAAACGTGTAAATAAGTCATAACATTAAAAACAGGCCAGATATTTAGTACTAATATATTATTTGCGCCGGATAAACGCTATATAAATGCTACAAATTATTTTTGGAAAACAAAAAAAAGCCAACTTCCTCTGTTTTTTTTTTAAAGTCGTCGTGATGACTACGAGATTTCTCCACAATTTCGTACTCAGATGGGCGACGGCTACGACTTTTTCGCGTCAGTACGGGATGGCGTAAGCATACAGCATGCGTTTAGCTTGACGAATCTCGTACTCGTAGTCGTACTCGTAGTCAAATCTAAAGCTCCCTAATGTCATGAATCCTTGTATGCTGAGAACTTCAAGAGAACTGCACAATTTGCGATATTGTTTATAATTATTATAGTCAAACTCCGTCAAACGAAGTCACGCGTTAGTTGTTCCGGGTACATTTATCTAAGTTCTATAGATTAACAAAATAAAGGTTTGATGAGTGCATGTTCAAACTATGTTACTTTTAAGGTCGCCTTACTAGAAACTCTCATGCACTCTCATACTCGTTTCATCTGGCTTAAGTTTAATGCTCAATTCAGTGAATTATGGGATCCCCCAAGGTTCCATATTGGGGCCTCTACTATTTCTAATTTATGTGAATGATTTGCCAAATTGTGTGGAAAATTCCAATATTAGAATGTTTGCAGATGACACTACCCTTACTGCTTCTGGCAAGTCAATACAAAAGATTGAATCTAAAATTAATTGCGACTTGGCTATTAGCTAATAAATTAACTAAATTAAGTCTTAATCTTACAAAGACTGAATATTTAGTAATTGGCAGTCCGTTTAATCTTAATAATCTTACATCTGAACCTAACATTATGATTGGCAATGTACCCATTAAACGAGTAACAAAAAGTAAATCGTTGGGTATTCAAATTGACCAATTTTTATCCTGGGACAATCGTTTGGAGGAAATATGTAAAAAGGCGTCCTCGGGAATTGGTGCAATCACAAGACTAAAAAGTTATGTTTCTCGCGTGAGTCACTTATATCAGTCTATTATGCTTTGGTTCAACCTTATTTTGACTACTGCTGCCTTGTGTGGGACCCAATTGGTGCCACGCTTTCAAATCGAATTCAGACTTTACAAAATAGAGCAGCAAGGGTCATATTAGGTTATAGAAATGAGCACGGTCAGTCTGAAGCAGCGTTATCTGAGTTGGGTTGGAAAACCTTAAAAGAACGCAAGGCTGATCATGAAGGCCAGACTTATAAGACTGATCATGAAGGCCAGACTGTAAAAAATTACTCATTCGCAAGCACCAGTTGCTTAATTGACCGAAATCTTTGAAAATTCACAACAAATCTATAACTTACGTAATAACGAATTCAAATTGTATTTACAGATAAATACTGAATACTTAAAGAAAAGTAACTATTGGGTTTTGCGGTGCGAAACATTGGAATGAATTATCTGGCAATCTGAGAATTGCAGATTGTTTGAATTCATTTTATTAAAATTACCTTGATTGCTGACACTAGCCTGCTTTAGATCGATTGTTCTCTCTGTTATATATATATAATATTTATATTATTAGTGTGTGTTATGTGCTGTTTAATAAACTCACAGGTCGTGTTTTATTAGGTTTAAAGCCACGAGCGCGCGCGCAGTGCGAGTGGCTTTAGACCAGCTAATAAAACACGACCTGCGAGTTTATTAAACGGCTTCAAACACGACTACAAATTCAATAGATATACTGCCTTATTAGTATTCTTTATATAAAGAATACTAATGAGGACATGACTACAATAGATACTGCCTTATTAGTAATATTCTTTATATAAAGAATAGTAATTAGGAGTGTTTTATCAGGTTTAAAGCCACTGCACGTGACATATTATGGTTGACATGATTTGCCAATAAGCTTATGAATTATTAATGAGTGTTTGAAGTTACTTTATTCATGTACTGTACCTTTTAAATTTGCACGCCCTCCTTGGAAATCAGCATTTGCTGAAGGAGTAAGCGTGTCTAAATAAAGTTTCATCTTATCTTATCTTATCTTATCTTAATTATCTTATCTTATCTTATCTTAATTATCTTATCTTATCTTATCTTAATTATCTTATCTTATCTTATCTTATCTTATCTAATGAACATTTTAATCTAATGATTGCGAGTCATCGACACGCTCTTTATCGCTTCAACGTCCCGCGTCTCTTCTTCCACAATTCTTAATTACAACGCTTGCCAGCCGCGCGTTCTATTCCTCTGTTTCGATCTTTGGCGATCGAAGCAAAAGAAACCTGACAAAAGTAACAATTATGTGCATTCGAGAATTACAGTAGTAATGACTCGTGTATTGTGGAGAGTCGTAGCGGTTTTCCATAATTATTGGCTGACCAATTACGAATCGTCCCAACCGGCTTTTGTTGGGAAAACCACGTGACAAGAAACCTTTGTCGCGGATTAATTATTAGTCCTTATAAATTATACACCAATTGATTATGTGCTTGGGGCTGTGATCACGAGATATTTACGCGTCCTGTCGTATAACCGTTGGCTGCATGGGGGAGGGGGTGTCGTCATGTTTTGACCAACATTTCCTAGGATTTTAACCAAGTAGTACAGGGGGGGAGGGGAAGGTCAAAAAAAATTTTCCGGACTAACATAAGCATAGTCAAAAACAAATTTTTCCGGACTAACATTATATAGGCATATGCCATATTGAACATTTTTCGACCAAGATAAGCAAGGCTTCCAATTTTTTCACCGCAAACATAACAAAAGCTTTAAAATTGTTAAAATTGCCAACAATTTCATAACTTTCAGCAACTTCGACCATCTTGCCCCCCTCCCACACACACACCCTATAGCCGACGTCCCTGTGCATGGTCACTTTTACCTTCAGTTTTAAGAGCAGTTCCTCACGCTGTTTGTCCTTTTTCTGAATTTCAACCTGTAGCGACTGTAACTCGATCATTGTAACTGCAAAAACATAGTAAATATCATGATTGAAAAATAAAAAAGGAGGCTATATAGACGGAAACTGAGATAGTATTAATGGAGCGGTGTTTTATCTAGTACTTAAAACTATGAATACATTAATAATTCACGAGGAAAATACAAAAGAAATGAATGTTTAATCAATGTTTGTAAATCGGATAAAGATTTGTCCTGATTTACATAAACTTCAGCTTTGATTTTCTCGGCTTAGACAATGTTTACTTTTAAAATTACTTCACCAATGAACTCATAAGATGGGTCATTTTTTAAGTACGATAAAACATTCGCATCCGATCTGTATCTGATATACAAACTCTCGCCTTCGGCTCGCATACGGACAGCCGGGTCAGCTCTGTAATGGTAACCTGGCACCCAAGATCTTGGAAGATCATGGTATGATCTTACCAAGACACTGGTCTTGCCAAGACTATTCAACTTTGTCATGCGAGCCAAAATTTTGACAAGATTTTCTGAAATTCTAATGCTAAGGTCTTGCCAATACGATTTATTAACATATTAATCAGTGATTCTTCATATTACGTCGTATTTCTAGACTTGACTGACAAGTCTATTCTAACGAGTAAGGGAAGCCTCACATATCGATTTCGTCCATGAGAAACGTCATATGTTCGTTTCTCTGAAGGGCACAAAAGTAGCGAGATACATGTTAAAAACAATGAAAATTAGAGATGTGAGGGCAGATTAAATTGCAAAATTTGTTATAAAGTACATCCCAGGTGCGCTGAAATTTGTGCCTAAAAAAATATCGAGTGCGACGTTGACCAACTCTGCAGTCTGGGTATTACGAATGTGGGCCTATAGACTGGTGTTTGTATCAAGTTGTTTTCTTTTTTATACTCTGCAAACTAAGATGATTTCGAAATGTTAAGGCTTTCGAAAAAACTATCGAATTTTTCCATGATATTTACAGAGAAACGTCACAGCTGCAAACCCCTCCACCCCCAAACGAACATATATGACGTTTCTCGTGGAAAAAATCGATATGTGACTAATGTGAGGCTTCCCTAAAACACACACTGAGCAGACTACTTTGTTGGGTTTCAGGCAGTGGCGTAACGTTATATCAGGGGGCCCCCGGTTCAAAATTTTCGAAGGCCCCCCTAGTAGAAGTGCCAAAGGCACGAGTCGAGCGCCGTATATGCACGAAATTTCTAGGGGGTCCAGGGCATGCTTATCCGGAAAATTTTTGAATTTAGACTCTCTGAAATGCCATTTCCTGGACTTTGGGGAGAGATTTTACAGAATTTTGATGGTCATAAAACTACATTGTAACATATCAGAGGCCCTGACCAATGTTTTTGCTCTATTGCCTAAGCCTGGGGGCCCCCATTTAGGTTGGGGCCCCCGGGTTCTCACGGTCTGAGCCCATAGTAGTTACGCCACTGGTTTCAGGCAAGAAAAGTTATTTCAGATCCATATAATTATAAGTATTGAATTGAATTGAATTATCACAATCAACTTCATTTTACTCCACTGAAACTTCTGGTGTATCATTGAGTTTCAAAACTCAATTCAAACCCTGAAAAACCCCTGATCAGGAAGAAAAATGCAGTTTAATCAGTTGTGTAACTAATTTGTGTTAAACCGGAAATTCCAACTACTGGAGGCAAAATTTAGGGAGAGGGCCTGTTCAGTGAATTAAAATCTAGTGACTCTAATTCTTCGGGGGAAAAATAATAAAAATTAAGTCTTGAAGTTCTGAAATGGCATTTCCAGCATTTTGGGAATATGTTGACATGTTATAAGTAATCATATATTCCTATATTCCTATAAATTGCCATAAAGTAAGTTCATAAAAAGGTCATTAGACAGGCTGAATATTCTGAAAAATCGGGAGAATTTGATAAAAATCAGGAGGCCAGGAGATTGCATGAATTTTCAGGAGATCTCCCCGTAAAATCGGGAGAGTTGGAATGTCTGGTTAAACAGCTAGCCCCCACTGCTTAAACTGAACTCGAGAGGACCCGGACCTTAATAAATGTCTTGCCCATTCAAATTGAGTCATGTCTCATACACAGTCCCCCCCACACACTTCTATTAAAATTGCTGGCTACACCACTGGCCATAATAATTATCTTAGACTTAATGAAATATTAAATTATTAACCCATTGAGTGGTTAGTAGCACTCTCCCCAGCATGACAAGTAAAATCGTCCGGCATTAGAGAGAGGAAAATAATAAAGTAGGACACTGATCCGGGCAGATTGCCACTTAAAGGGTTAAATTAACACTTAACAAATTAAGTGTCAATGAAGTCTTTATCTGCATGCAGTGCTAATTAATTATATTACCACTAAGAAAGTGAACATTTGTCTAATAATTGGACGTTACAAACCGTTATTTGAGAACTGATCAACCTCAGGCTCTTCATCCGATGTGCCTAAACTATCTGTTGAGTCATCTGGAAAATGGGAAGAACATGGGCTTAGTTGTTTAAACCTCATGCAATTGACATTTGTGGTCCCGGGTTAGCCTGCGAACAGGCTCTCAAGCTGAATTGAGAGCCTGCATCGATGACTAATGAATTTGAATATCTGCGTCTCAAATCGTGACGCGAAATTCTCATTGGTCAGATGCTATAATTTATATGTTTCCGCTGAGCTCTATATATATCAACTGCTGAAGCACTATATGATAAAAAACACATTAACTGATCAAATTGGTCTTGGCCGTCTTATATCAAAGCACAAAATGTTCTGTTTTGAGAAAACAGTATTTAAAACATTTGAACTTTCGCTTGAATATCTTATATTTCGAAAAACAGTACAAACTTTACGGTCTAAATTTAGTTTGCACGGTCTAAATTTAGTTTGCACGAAAGTTGTAAACAACACCATATAAGGATAGACATTCCATATTTGGAAAAACAAACGTTACTGGGCAGATATTCAAATTCATTAGTTATCGATGCAGGCTCTCAATTCAGCTTGAGAGCCTGTTCGCAGGCTAGTCCCGGGTATACTAAATAGCCAATTGCTAGCCTGCGAACAGGCTCTCAAGCTGAATTGAGAGCCTGCATCAATGACTAATGAATTTGAATATCTGCGTCTCAAATCGTGACGCGAAATTCTCATTGGTCAGATGCTATAATTTATATGTTTCCGCTGAGCTCTATATATGTCAACTGCTGAAGCATTATATGCATAAAAAACACATTAACTGATCAAATTGGTCTTGGCCGTCTTATCTCAAAGCACGAAATGTTCTGTTTCGAGAAAACAGTATTTAAAACATTTGAACTTTTGCTTGAATATCTTATATTTCGAAAAACAGTATAAACTGTACAGTCTAAATTTAGTTTGCACGGTCTAAATTTAGTTTGCACGAAAGTTGTAAACAACACCATATAAGGATAGACATTCCATATTTGGAAAAACGAACGTTACGGGGCAGATATTCAAATTCATTAGTTATCGATGCAGGCTCTCAATTCAGTTTGAGAGCCTGTTCGCAGGCTAGCCAATTGCAAGCTAATATGGCATGTGACTTGCAACTATAACAATTACATATCATGATTGGTTAACTAATCTGGACTAAGTTCCTTTCACTTGCACACTTGCAAGCAGCCAGTCATGCCACGGTAAGTATATATTACCATTCCCTTCATATTTACTCAAATGGATAAGTATATGCTTGTGTAGAATTAAAAATATTCATTCAAATTCATGCTAGACGAGATATCTTTGAAATTTTTAGTTGGTTTGCCTTTCCTATAAAGCTAAAGAAACTAAATTAACTAGAGCTAATACAGAAGAAGACATACAAGAGCCACCTTAAGAAGTGAAATGTACATGACTGTCTTCACCACATTGGAATTTTAATCTGCTTGTGAAATTTGCTGATTGAGTGTAAATAATCATATCTTACGTTATATATATATTGTTACAAAAAAGGCTCATCGGTAAATTTGAAGCATTTATACAAAAAACTCTCCATTTATACAAATTACCTTCTTCAAATCCCAATTCGCCTTTCCACATTTCTTCTCTCGAAGGCGAGGGTTGACCGGCGAATGAAGGCTTGTATGTTTTTGGCCCTTTAAATTCCATCTCTTTAAAAATACACGCTTCTTATTAAAATACCCCACAAACACTTGAACAAAATAACCTTGGATTACTGTAGCTGAAGCCAAACGAAACCTTCAAAAGGACATTTTTGACTGCTTTAGCAAATTGACAACACAAATGAACAGTCGGCATTTAATTTGAATTCCTTCTGTCGCTAATTATTTTTCAAAATTCAAATTGTTCAAAACATGATTTGTTGTTCGTTACTATGGAGTAGCCAATCACAGCACTCCGGCAAAAGATACCTGGAAATTTTCTCGCGCGACGTCTTTTCGTCTTTTTGTCTGTCTGATAAAATTTCCAAAATGGCGGCACATTTGACCATTCAATGCATTTGACAAACATTTTCGTGATTTTTCTTTTATTACGGCAAAATTACTAAAATGTAAACGACGGAGAAAAGTAACTAAGTAAGTATGTGGCGTGGTGTAATAATAACCTAAAACTTGTAGATAAATATTAGGATTTTGGGGTATCTCACTCGATTGAACTCCAGTGTGGAAAGTTTGTATAATTTGCACTTTGGATGCTCTATATATTTACTATTAAATTTTCGAAATCACCCCCGCGCAATTTCCCAACTTTCCAGTCAAGTTTCAAGTCTTGTAGAAGTATAAAAGTTTATCAAAATAATTTAGTAAAAGACCTTCGTTTCTTATTTATTTTAGGAAGGGACGAAGGGTAAAATTGGGGATTACTGATCCAGCAGATTGCAATGTATTCGACGAAGCAGATGGTACCGAAATTGATGATGATGATTGATGAATTCTTGACTTGCAATCAATCCCTTGACTGGCCTTGAGAATCAAAAGACAATCATGGTATGCCAAATTCAAAAGAAGTTAATGAGATTCTTTTGTTGAAAGGGGACCAACATGGCCGTCGCCCACATCATTGTAAGTCAAGAATGCATGGATGGCACTATATGACAACACCCCGATATGGCGATCTATTTATAATTGCATCTCCTGTTCCATCGCCTGTTGCCTCACCTGTTTCAATATCTGTTGCTAGCTTGCCACTGACCACACCAGTTCCCTTCCCTATTGTGACATCTGTTGTCTTTCCTGTTTCTCAAATGTTTGATGCTGGCAAAAGTACTTCAGAAACTAATTTGGTAGGTGGGTATAACAGTTGGATAGATCAGGGATTCAATATAGATCAGGGATTCGATATATTCACTTCAACACCATACATCCCTGAAAGTTTGGATGAAGGCAAGCCTGATGGAGATTGTCTTCAACAACTTGAGAAAACTGCTCATGTACAACCATGAACCAAGTGACCCTGCATGGGTTCTTTTTGCAGCCAGGTGATACTAATTGTTCTACTACACACAGTCACAGAGACAGCAACAAACAGAAAATATCTCTAATGGAATTAGGTAGTGAACTCAAAAAGTTGATTGTAAGCACCTTGAATAAATATGAAACTTCTGCAGTAGAAAAAAAACATGAATGAAATAAATACATGCTGCAGAGTGCAGATGAAATATGATTGAAGTAAATAGGATTGAGTAAACTGGCATAAAATAACCAGTGAAGTAAGAACAATTTGCTCCATTGATAATATACTGGTTCTTAAAAATCTGCTAAAGTTTTGTATCCAGTCTTTAGCTAAACTGCATGCTACTGCTATTATGGCAACATGCGTAATTTAAACAATTTGATTGCTTACTCAGTGACCATCTTATTAGTAATATTGTAAATATCTAATGCCCATCACTATTCTTAAAGACAAATAAATTTTTAAATTCTAAATCTGTTTTGACCAGTTTGTATTCTTCACATTCTTATATCCTATATGTGATCATTTTATATAATTTTTTTTAGAAGAAAAGCAGAGCCAAAGCGGCAGCCGGACTCATATCTCCATCAAAATTTTTCAAGATGAAGGGGCTGAAAATTTACAATGACGAGGATATTAAAAGCAAGACTGGACTTGAAAAAATGAGGCAGTTTTGGAATGAGAAAGTTGAATAATAATTCAACTCGTTCTGAAACTGCTAATCTGATGAAAACCGAGATATAAGGGATAATCGATGTAGCTTGGTGCCTCAGAAAATGATGAATCCATTCTTGTGGATGATGCCCGAAAACTAGAACTGGACGAGCAGGACCTATTTGGCATTTGCAGGTGGTGACAATGCCATATTGGAAAGAGGAATAATAATAATGAAAACTTTATTAAATGGATATTTAGCTTATATATACAATTGTAAATCTCACTTATATCAGGTAATTTACAACTGGCTACTTCATGTCATCCCTAAAAAAAAGGTAACCGAACTTCAGCGCGCTATTGTACGTGAATTACTCGGCGTACACCCCAATGTGGCCCTACTTTATCATTTTACTCTGTCTAAACACCAGATGATTTTACTCGTCAGGATAATGGCACTCCATGGCATATTTAGGTACGCTAAGCATACATGTATCTGCTCATGGTGATTGCATATATATATATATATATATATATATATATATATATATATATATATATATATATATATATATATATATATATATATATATATATATATATAACCAACAATGAGACGATGGATGTGGGACGCATGAGCTTGGGGCACAATTGCCTATAGGCCTTTGCGCTGATTTAAATCTGTGACATGCAGAGATCATGCGTATTAGGCTGAATGGCGTTCTTGTCGTATATATATATATATATATGGTTTAAATGTTAGAATTTTCTTCTTTAAACTTTAATGTTGTCGTCACTATACATCTGGAAAACCACGTAAGAACAAATTAAAAGTATTTTAAAAGAGACCAGGTTGTTTGAAAATCCTAAACGAATGCTAAAAATCGTCAAAACATTCTGGTGTCTGAGCCAGAGTGTCATCGAATTGCGATGTATAATGTAAACAGAAATTAAAGCAAGTTGATGTCAGTCAGCTTAGATGGTCCAAGCCAAAATTATATCGCATTTGAATTTTAAAACTGAGTTAAAATAGTGGAAGAAAAGCCGTAATTATACTTATTGTTACAATCCATTTAATAAAATGCAACATTTTTTTGTTTTAATGAAAACGATTTTCATGAGAACGATTTGTTATTCTATCTCAATTTTTTAAATCTCCAATCGCAATAACGTAAAGTATTATTAGCCGCGAACCAATGAGTCAAATTTAAGAAACAACCCACTGTTAGAAAGCTGAATGGCTACGCTTTAAAATGAATGTAAACTTTAACGTTTTCGTCTATTATTTGTTTAGCAATTTACATTTCAGTCGAGGATTGTGCTTTTTTTTATACACCCTGTA